GATGGGACCGTGGTGTAAATGGTATGGCATTAGGGTTGAGATGTCTAGTGAAAAGACCCGGAATAGATGGGGCGGCATTAGGATTAGGTTCGAGTCCTGTTGGAGAATTAGGGTCACGCAGTGCTGCCATCATTCTTTATCACTGGTCGGATCTGTGGTGGAATGTTTACCATTGCTGCTGCCAAGATTGTCTTGTGATGCTGCATTCTGATGTTGGTCACTGTCTTTAAACTGCCATGGTCTGGCGTACAGAGGTCTTGGCCAGAAGTTTGGGGATACAACAAGCAAGAGGGCACTTGCTTCAACCATTAGTCGTGCTGACACCTTTCCATTTTCTGCTCTGTGCATGCTGCAGTCATGCACAGTGGTCTCTGCTCCAGCCTTGGCTGACCTTTGTTTCACGAAAGCTGCTAGACTCTCCTCAGTGCAGGACTCGCTCAGATTCCCAACGTACAACATGGCTTTCTTTGGCCTGGGTGGCTCCGCTGACACTAACTGCCAACTGTCATCTGCAATGACATCCAGGATGGCTTTACTTCTTCCGTTATTGCGCTTGGCCTGCTGGAGCTTGGAGCCTTTACCTGCTGCAGGGTGTGTAGCTTCCTGATCACTGCTTTCAGTGTCGTCAGTGTCACTGACGCTGTCACAGACGCTACGGTGTGCAGTTGTAGTACTCATACAGTTACTGGGGTCATTGGTGCCCGTAGCTGCACGGACAGCTTTCCTGGCTGAGCGTCTACGGGATGTCTTGCTCGTACGCTGGCACTGGGCCTGGGGAGAGACACTCGCCGAAACAATGGCGGTTTCTTTCAGTGAAACAACATCCTCACTGAGTGCATTCACTTGCTTCGTCAACAGGTCGATCTTGTTCAGCAGGCGTGTCTCCCGGTCGGCCGACTGTGACACGAGGGAGGACAGTGTTGTGACTAGTTCTACGACAGAAGTCTCAATTCCTGGGAGGGAACTCAACAGTTTGATCTCCGACTCGGTCATCCCGCGAATGGCGGTTTTTCCAGATCGGGACATCTCGGCCCACTAAATGCTACTGCTAGGCTGCTACCTAATGAACTATCTATTACTAATTAACTATCCAGTACCTACCCTTCTCCAGACCGGCCTACTGCCGGCTGGCTACTGCAAAACCTGCGAAAACTGCGGAGCTCAAAAAAGATATGTGGCTTGATTATTGTAGTTGACGTTGATTTGAAACCAGCTTCCGTTCGCGGAGCTAAAACTCGCGACACAAGAACAAAATCAAAAATTGGAAGCTGTACGCCCATGGCGAATTTCAAGAGCAAAAGAATGAGCTATTGATTGTGGAAATCGGCCGAACGATGCCTGCAGGAGACTTTCTAATGCAGCACAAGAAGGCTGCTGGCCACAAGTGTTCTCGAGGGCGACCAAAAAAGTCATAATGCTCTTCTTCTCAATTAGACCATATAAATACTGCAAACTTGCCTGCTTGGGTTCATATTATTGACAAAAAAAGGAAAAAAATGAGCATCCAAAAATATTGATTCCATGATCTAGATGTGCATGTGCGTCGTCTGGGGGGAGGGGGGGGGGGTCAAGGGAGAGAAGCACCAATATCGTCTCTAAAAAAACATCGATATTTACGGACGGCCCCTAAGGGTAATATTGTTATAGGGGTACAGTAACTGGTTCATTTCATACACATACGTCATAATACATGGATTTTGTTCATTTTTTACGCTCTTCATAGCATCAAAAACTATCGTACATGCACATTATGTACATAGCAAGGTGCCCACTGGTGCCCCCATTGCATTTCGTCATGTCCAAGCGACTTATCAAGTGAAGCTTGCCCTACCTGGATAGTGAGCTCTATAATCCCTGCTAGATATTGTTATAAAATGGAAAATGTCGATTGGTCAGCCCATTTTATTATCGTTATAGGGGTAATATCGTTATAGCAATATTGTCACACACAAGCGGAAAAACCGTCAGAGATCAAATTCCATTACACAGTGTTTCACCGTTGAAGCAACGGATCATCAGATGGATGATCAAACAAAGTATGATACACTGGTTATATACTCAAAAGGTGTGAACTCCGTCACTATGGAGTGTGAAGATTTATCATTATGTAGCAATATTGTTATATAGAGGTAAGGCATTGTATACACAAGTCAATGGAGTGATTTGGTTTGGCAGAAAAATATCGTTATAGAGGTTATCGTTATAAGGGTAGGTCGACTGTAGCTTGTTGTTATGCACGTGAGTGATGACGGGTGTGTTATGACAAAAGCCTTTTTGCAAATTTTGGCCATTTGCGCTAAAAAAACAAGGACAAAAAAAAACAAAACAAGAAACAACAAGAGCACCTCGATCTCGCCTTCATAATGTAGATCTACCAGCTAGCGCTAGCGTGTTGTTATGCTAAGGTCAGAAAGGACTTAGTGGCACTCGCTGGTTTATATCATCAGTTGAAGAATATTCCTTATCCTGGCGTCGATCGCTGAGAAGGTGCACTATTGGCTACTGACGTAATAATAGTTTGTTACATTCACAACAGTGTTGCTGTGGTAATCTGCGCAGTGCTGAACATCTCTATTCACTGTGCAACTGTATCATACCGCTATCAAAACTTACTGGGGTAAGAGAATTATGTATGTACAAAAAGGAAGATGAATGTTGAAGAAACAATAGTTGACTGGCGGGCTGAGTGCGTTCGAGCAATTGTTTTCCGGATTTCAATGATTGTGGCAATGTGTTGTGTATCGGACATGCATAATCTGATCATCCTATCCGACTTTTCGGCCGAGGAAAAAATCGAGAAGTAGTTTGACAACTCCTAAAACTAGTAGAGAACGAGTACGTGTACATGTTGGTGACTCGTTTACCCATCCTTAGTTAGGCCAAATAATAATTGCCAGGGAATTTCGATGTGGTTGGCTGAAGTTTGTTTTCGAGTCAAACAACACGTGTACATGTAGTTATATACTGACTGAAGTGATCTTTTGCATTCAAGTTACTGAAAAACCCCGAAAGCGGTTTTACGAATCACGTCCTTCGTGACTGATATGGTTGAGGCAGTAAGTGTTGGTGACTGAAATCTGGTCCATGTAAGTCAGCTAGTACTGGACACTGTGCAGCTGTAGACTTTCCAACATTGGGTTGTGCACCGCTGTATGGCCGGAAATGTATTATTCTTGATCCCGGATTTCATCCGATGTCTAGCACTGCGGCTGTAGATATTGTGAACAGTTGCATGTAGTATCTGATCTGTTGTATGTGTGTGTGTGTGTGTGTATGTGTGTGTGTGTGTGTATGTGTGTGTGTGTGTGTGTGTGTGTGTGTGTATTTTGCCGCACTGTGTGTTATTCTCTACAGACCGGCAGTACGTAATCTTCTGACAAATTCTCAGTAATCCACACCATATACTGTACGCTACACACACAACAGAGGCGAAAGGCTGTGTTAGCTGTAACTTAAAGTTTCACGCATCGAGCGATCATCAGACAGCAGCATTCACTATCGAATTCTCTACGAGCAGGCCTAGATATTTGATGCTAGTGTGGAAGTTAGTGCATATGTGCGAAGTGAAGACGTGGCATTGGGACAATGGTATTGAGTTGTTTTGTGAGAGTTAACGGATAAAGGTGAGAATAGAGGCGATAACAGGGCAGTGTTACCGAGTCATTAAAGGCGATAGCTATACGCTATACAACCGTGTACTACTGAATATACAACATCACCAGGAGAACATGTTTTCTTCAAAGTTACATGGCAATCTCAAGACTGTCAGTAAGTTTGTTCAGCGTGGTTATGCTGTGAGTGTACAGAGCCGGTTAGTCCAGTCAACCAGCAGATCAAGGTTATGTGTTACTAGCAAGGTGACTCAGACATCAGCACAGTCCAGACAGTCAGTTAGGTGGAGATCAGATCAGTCTGGTCATCAAGTCACTACGGTACATGATGCTGTTAATGCTATTGAGTCCATCTTTCATAGCATAAGGAAGAAACGCACATTTCAACCCGCCAGTGAACTGATATCACAATGTTCTCTCATCCAACGTCATATCACTGCACTACGGAGTTCAAACAAGATCACGAACATCCTTGAGGCATGTGCTCTTGTAAATGAGGAGAACACTGATGTGAAAAAGCTTACAGAGTCTTTACTTAATCAGCTAGCCAGCCTACCTACTGAACTCTGGCAAGAAGGCAAGAACCAACACACGCTGTTATGGGCAGTGTACTGGGCCGCAAAGTGCCGATGTTCAACTCCAGGATTCACGAAGTTACTACAACAGCAGCTTGATGTCATATGCATTGAGGAATGTAGAGATGTTGCTAATTGTGCGCATGCATCGGTTATGTTGAATATGCCTGATCGTCACCTGGCCCAACACTTGATGAATCGCTACATTACCATCCAGAGTACAGGTGATCCAAAGCATCGTCATACTCAAGTACTCTCACTACTTCTCTACTGTACACTGTGTGGTGTAGAGTGCAGTGCCTTGCTGAAGCTGATCAGTGTTAATCATCTGACACAGAGTAAGTCTATTCTGGAATAAGACCTTTGGAATAGAGACGTGTGTCTGTTGGTTGTGGAATTTCTGCTCACACAGAGTTAAAAGTGACATTCATACCACAAACCTTTGTAGTAATTGTCCTTGGTATCTCAGAGTTGAAACCAATTGTTGTTTTAAACAAGAACAGAAACAATCTCAGTCTGTGGCGTTTACTACACAGTCTTCTGCTGATGCCGGCTCACTTTCACATACATGTACATATGATGATGATGTATGTTATAAACTGATGGGTTTCTGATAAAGTCATGATGGCAGGATTATAGGTATGATATTGAGTCATGCAGATGGATAGTCTGGAGCCATTCCAAACTTGTCTTACTATTTTCTCAATCAGTTACCTTCTAGTTACATTGGTTGGGCGTCCTGCAGCTTCATAATACTTGAAGTACTATGGGAAGTTTTGAGCACACATGCAAGTTTATTCCTTGGCCGAATCACACCTCAGTCCACTGTATCAGTTTCGACATTTCAACAAATTGCTATCACCAGAATGCAGTACAATGTGCAATATGCAATATGCATCCTGATGATGTTTGGAAATAGGACAGACAGTATGGACTTGTGTGTACTTCAAGAAGTATGTGCACCAAATTCGTAACTCACATACCAACAAAAATTCATCCAGTGTTGTTCCCCTGACTGTGTCTGTTTTATAGGAAGTAGGCTGTTGGCGTGGAAATGACAAATGGATCACTTTCAGATGTCAACGATTTTGATTTTTTCATTTTCACAATGTCATCCGAAAATGTATGTGTTGGTCTATGTCCATACCACTGTGTGTTTCTCTCAATTCTCTCTGCCCTGACTTCTGTGCAGAATGCAACCCTCGCCTTGTGCAACTACTATATTTGCACAGCACCCTCCCTGTCACTAACAACCAGCGGCTACAGATATTGGAAAGATGTTTAGTGCGGTTCCAGAAGGATGTGACAAGTCGGCATTCAGGTCGAATGTATGATATGCTGTCATACTTCATTGGCCCAAAGTACACCACTGGCATATCTCTGGTTGATGGTGTGGAAGTTCAGGCATTCTGCATATTCAACCAAGACCATGAACCAGTGAAGACTGAAGCGTATCCAGCTGATGTATACAACGGTGTATCAGTCGATATGACTGCAGCTAGGCGTCATGGTTTCAGTGTTGTGGCATGTCGGGGTGTGAGTGACACACGGTTACTACGTCATCCTATACGTACACCTAACGGATATAACACTCTTGAGGCATCGGTACTCAAATCTCAAGGATGTTACATTATTCCGGTGAGTTCTTGTGCTGGTGTTTTTGCCTTTGATGATGCCTGTCTTGATTCTACAGTGCAGGTTGGAAAAAGGAGCTTGCACTTAATGAGAGGTTTGAGTGGCTTGACTGCATTCTGTTGCCCAAGTCTCGTAGTACGACTCAATCTTACCCTGCTGACAAATCACAAGACTGTAGGCACGGAGATGACCAATCGCATTGCACCTAGCAGGGCCTAGATGCGGCGATCAAAGCATGCTACAAGAAGTAGAACTCCATATTTAGTGGAGCGGGCTTTGATTTTCCCATCAAAGCCTGCCCAGGCGGGCTTTGGTTTTACGATCAAAGCCCGCTCCACTAGAGCTTTGATCTACTGAACAAGCTCGCTTTTTTTACACGACTCGGTCTGGAGAAGGTTGAGTCGTGCTTTCAAGCGCCATCGGAAGATCAAAGTGCGTGTTCATGTCAGAAATCCAATCAAACCAGTCATGTTCATATTCTATGAGCCAATCACAGCCCTTCGCGAAGTATTTACAAGTTCGATATGAGTTTCAAGCGTGGGTGCATGTGAGAAATGTAATCAAAACACTCGTAGTCGTGTTCGATCAGCCTACATCACAGCCCCTCGCGCTTCGGGCGGCGGGCTGTGATTAGGCAATCTCACACTCGTACTCTTGCTTGATTCCATACTTCTGGAGACTGTGTTCAGTGACAGATTGACTATCGGGACTTTCATCTCCACTGGATGAGCGTACATTTTTGACGTGCTTCACTATTTCTTTCTGCATTGATAGATGGTACTCAAACATGGCGCTCGGCACTCTCAGAAAAGCAGCCACACTATCCCGGATTTGCTGATCAATTATCCGTACCACATCACCGTGTTCAAAGACCTGTTACCCGCCAAGCAGTGATGGACATACACACTGATGTCATAGTCTACAAGATGGTAAGTTACAGAGTGTTAGATGGTTTAACTTTTTTTATTTTTTTATTTTATTTTTATTTTTTACAAAATACACAACTCACCGGCAGGTACATGGGGCTAGCATGGGGTGAGATGGTGCTGGTGGTGCTTGCCATGCTCAACCGACCAGAGGTCTCGGCATCTTCACATGGCAGGCGCACCAAATTCGGGAGGGGAGCATAAGCACGAGGGGAAAAAGCACGGGAGAAAATGGAAGATTTAGAACGAAGGAGAGGATCTAACTTTGGAACACAGCAGAAAATAGCAAATAATCAAACAGATAATAGGAGTGAATGAAGAGTGTCAAATGAAGGGTGCAATGGGGTAGCAATGGAGATTGGCTACTCAGGATTGGCCCCCATTAGGCTTGGGGTGGGAGAAGCAGGGGCATAATCCTGGAGGACGCTAGAGGCGGTCGGTTGCCCAGTCCCAGTCAGACTGCCTCAGGTGGTCATAGACCTTCTTCTGGAAGGTCTGCATTGACTTCTGGGAGGGGCGAGCACTGAGGATAGAGGCTGGGAGGCAATTCCAGGTGTCAATCATACAGTGGGGGAAGGACATTGTTCCGAGACTGAGGTGGGACAGTCTTGGTCAGCTGGAACGGATGGTGGCTCGCAATTGTGCGCACGCTGGCTCAGGTGCGGGCCCGGGCTGGAGGGGGTAGGAGGGCTGTGATCATGGCAGGGCCAGTCAGATAGTGGAGCTTGAACAGGTAGCAGAGGGCAGCAACAGAGCGTCGGATGTCCAGGCTGGGCAATCTGCCACGGTGTAGTTTTATTCTTTCAACCTCATTGGTTGCAATGTCTATAACTGAAAGCAGAACACTAATATAGTGTAGTGGATTTTACTTCTTTGATGGGAGTGAGGTACCGTAGTGACGCGCATATAAGAGCATGTGCCTATACCCGGGCATAAGCGCACCCTCACAAATAAGCGCATGGGCTTATAAGTGAATCTAAATGCAGTCCATCCCGCGACAAACAGACACCACAAAAATACCATGTTCACATAGTTCAATGTGCATTGCGGTATTGCACTATGTGCATAATTATGCAAGGTACCGGTACACTAGCAACTCAAGCGCATGCGCCTATGTGTGAGACAAAATGACCCGCCAAAAATAGCAAATAACGCAACAACTCACTCATAAGCGCATGGGTCTTTATGTGCGTCACTACGGTATGCGAGTTGTTGGGGCGCATTCTCTCGATCTAACCGAACTAGAAAAACACATCAGCAAGGAGTCGATCTGGCTATATCTTGGTGGTGAATTAGCTATGCTGATGAATACAACGGGTAGTGAGACTGGTTAGATGGCCTGTGGAAGACTATAATCCAGGAATTCCAGTGTCATGGGTTTAAGATTTTGCGTACTACGCTCTACCCATTCCGGGCATTTGAGCATTAAGGCGCACTGCCTCTGTGTCATTGGTTGAAGATTACGATCAATGTTAACCTAGAAGTAGTGAACTTCCTCGTTATCACACAAGCAAACCTGTAAACGGTCAATACAAATCATACCGAAACCGGGCGCCACAACGCTATTGTCGTCCGGAAATGGTACTACAGTGCAGTGGCGCAACCTGCACAGTCTGAGCGCGGTCCGCTAGCAGGGGAGAACCCCGTGCGCAGGGTAACGCCAAATGGGACCTCAAAAAGATGACAAGGACAACACTATACCTGAATACCCAGTCTAACCATCCGCCGGTGATAATACAAGATCTCCTCAAGTCTATCAGTAGAGGAATATCCGATATCTTGGCTGACCATGATGTGTTCCAGGAGGCTGTACCACCATAAAGGAGTGTGCTGATTAGCAGTAGGTATTGTAAACCCCTAGAGTTGTGTAGTGGGCTATCTATTGAGAATATTGTTGACAAATTCCTTTCTGATAGGTTCCTCGTGACTGGTCTGGGGGCACAGTAGAAACTGTGATTGGTTCAGCCATGTTTGTTTGGTATTGCGACTTGTCACAGGGCATTAGTTTTTTTGTTGACGATCTGACTGGTTACAGGACCAGTGACTGTTCACAGTGCCTGTACTACTCAGAGGGCCTGGACTGGTCACAGGGCCTGGACTGGTCACAGGGCCTGGACTACTCACAGGGCCTGGACTACTCACAGGGTCTGGACTGGTCACATGGCCTGGACTGGCCACAGGGCCTGGAATGGTCACAGGGCCTGGACTGGTCATAGGGCATGGACTGTTCACAGGGCCTAGACTATTCACAGGCCTGGACTGGTCACAGGTCCTGGACTGGTCACGGAGTCCTACACAGAAAGTAGACTTAGATATGGAGAATAGGGCTTGAAAGTGCTACGTCACAGCATAGCAACAATTTCAAAAATTCAAAAACTGGATCCACTTGGATCCAGTTTTTGTATGGATCCAAGCACATTTCAAGCGGTCTTACCCACAGCACGGTGATGTAGCCAGTGAAACTGACTGATTTGGCTACTGGGGGCGGGGTTACAACTGGTGGCGAAATAAAAGTCACACCTGCATGCGACATGAGTGGGTTGCTATGCACCCACATACTTAGGCAATAGCAAAGTCACACCTTAGTGGATCCAAAATTAGAAATCTGATGTCAACTTACTACTCCCTGGCCGTTTTGACGTCATCACTTTCAAGCCCTATTGCACCATATCGCTTACGTAATCTTTGCCGTCTAGATTTTCTTTAAAACTGATATCACACTGACAGGTCTGATTGATACAGAGTAAGAGTATAGAAGTGAATCATCCATGACCAATCAAAACGTATATAAACGGAGAATTCTACTGTCCAGAACCCATCTACAGAGTCGCACATTCTGCTTTATGTACTCTTGCCATCGTAACAGTATGGAACTGATATACATGAACAAGTAGCCAGCCAGGTCGGGAAAGAAACTGGACAACCACCATGGAGAGTGGAGTGCGCTGTGTAATACTTTCCCGATCACAAAAATTGTATTTGCTGTTTGTGTGATTCTTCTGTGTTCTCTCAGATATCTCTGAACAGCAGTATACTCTGCAGAGTTGTGCCGTGAGGAAGTGTGTGATATCATGTGAGGCTGGAGTATGAGGTCCGATTTGTGATTACTAAGAAAGTTGTGGACATCTCTTTTTGTCTTGTGATTGAAGGTTTAATTTCTTTGATTCCTCGCCACTTTTTCTGCTGAGCTGATCACTGAGGAAGTTGGTGCTGCCCCTTGTTTAATTCCACTCCATTGGCTGAGTAACTGAGTACAGCCGATGTGAGAGGGTAGTGCTGCTAGTGCTAGTGAAGTATGCGTGTTGATTGTGTTTTTGAAATCCAGGCATTGTTGAGTTTGTGCGTGAATGTTTGCGTGTCTGTGCATTCAGTTCCCAATTCTTTTTTCCTTGTGCGTGCATATACAGTACAGTGTACTTTGATATTGTGAATCCTCCACATGACATTGTGTGTTTTCAGCTTCCATTGTCCATAGTATGCATAGTACAAGTAGCATCTGGAGTAGCCAGTGTTTGTTTTCTTTCTCTGGAAGACTGTATGCACTAAGAATATCAAACATAAGACACTGCTAAAACTGAGAAGAAACTTAGAATTGGATTCAACCACTGTTCACCATGAACTCTTTTCAAGACAAGGAGAAAGCAAAACAACAAAACCAAAGCTGCTAGAGCACTGCACGCGGAAAAACTCTGCACGTGAGATGCCGTGCAGCGGGAAAAAGGCCATACATCTGAAGCATACGTCTCGTGCACAGGAGCACAAGCCCGGGAAAAACAGGGTTGATGATCACATGATTTCACGCATGAGTGATACCATACATGACCTACAGAACTAGAGAATGATTGTGGTGAAAACAGACACATAAATCATACATTTCTCCCCTCTTTGCTCGAATAAGGCAGAACTATGGTTGACGGATGAGAGCAAGCTAACGTAAACAGAAGAGATCACACTACATGTATAGCATGGATTGAACGCTGCACCAAACTTGAGTGGAACGGCCAATGCCGGAGAATTGGACTGTCACCTAAGAACAATTTTGAATTTTAAGATGATGAGAAAAACAGCAGATAATGATCTCCAAGTCGGGTGCATGACCATATCAATGTTCCTTAAGAACATGTCACTTTGCTGTACAATACTGTTCGTTGCTGCTAGCAGTTCACACGGAGCGAAACTGTTCACTACTGCTAACAGTTCACTGCTCACTCTCGAGTGGAATCAGGACATTGATAGCACGTCGGTACACCCGCTTGCGGATCTTGACGTCCACTACGCGTACACAACCGTCCTCAGCCGGGTATACAGCAACCACTCGACCGAGTGGCCAGGTACTTCTAGGGGTGTGTGCGTCAACACAGATGACGACATCGCCCACCTTGATGTTGCGTTTCTTCTGCTGCCACTTCTGCCGGACGTTCAACGTTGGAACCACCTCCTTCACCAACCTTCGCCAGACGTCTTGAGTTAGGCGCTGTACAACTCTCCACCTGTCATGTGGATCAGGCTGTCCGTCAGGCTCCAGATGATCGATGGCGTGGTGGATATCGCGATGACCCACGAGGAAGTGCAGTGGCGTTAGCGGCTCTAGATCCTCGGCATCGTCACTGATACTCGTAAGAGGTCGGGCGTTCAGCATAGCCTCCGCATGAACGAATGCGGTCGCAAGCTCTTCATCACTGCACACTCCATTTTCGAGAACGGCGTACACTGCACGCTTCGCCAGCTTGATCATAGACTCGAACACACCTCCGTGATGTGGCGCGCTTGGTGGATTAAATCTCCAGTTGATCTTGTTTGACGCCATGTCTGCCGCAACATCTTCAGAGTGCTCCAGCTCTTCCACGGCGTCTCGCAGCTCTGCTTCAGTAGCGACGAAATTGGTGCCGTTGTCAGAGACGACATCCTTCGGTGTGCCTCGCCTCTTACAGAATCGGGAGAAACACATCAAGAACCCCTGCGCCGTCATGTCGTAAGCCATTTCCAAATGACACGCACGTGTCTCCAGACACGTAAATAGGCAGAGATAACGCTTGGCACGGCTTCGTCCACGGCCTTGCCTTGTCGAGAACGGCCCGGCGTAGTCCACGCCAACGCCAGAGAACACTCGTTCAGTGATAGCGACACGCTGCTCAGGAAGCTGTCCCATGAGTTGGGATGCTGGCCTGTTCCACCGTCGTCTGCAGCCGTTGCAACCGTGTCGATGCGACTTCACTGCCTGCTTCCCGCGGACGATCCAATAGCGTTGTCGGAGATTTGCGAGTAGATAGTTGACTCCGAATTCGTGATGACACTTCTCATCCTCCGATGCTATGACGAGTGAGGTGATCTGGTGCTTAGGTGGGAGAATCACGGGCCGGCGTGTGCATGCCGTAACCTTCGTGCTAGCATTATCGAGCCGTCCGCCGACTATCAGCACTGCAGGATGCTGACTTGTATCCAGTTCTGGATTCAGTGGCAGCAGCGGATCGCCATTCTCAAGTGGTTGGCCACGCTCAAGACGGCTGATGGTGCGCCCATAGGACTCGCGTTGAGAAACGGAGAGCCAGTACCTCGCTGAAAGTACCATCTCCTCAGCCGACAGCTCCGGTACTGGAACACAACTGCCGCTGCAGTCGCAACTCCCCTCTGTGCTGCTGGCTGGGAGAGGTTGCAGCAATCCATCTGATGTGGCAGGTGCACTGGTTTTGGTTGATCCAGCTGCCTGCTTGCAGTTGCGGAGGAAACGAAGGCACCAGCACGTCACGCGAAGAAGTCTCTTCCATGACGAGTACCTGGCTGGTGACAAGCGAGACTGTGCAGGCTCCGCTGCTGTTGTGACAAACGCAGATGCCAGGGCTCGCTTCGTCTCTCCACCGACGTATGATGGCACAGTGATCTCTCGAATTGGCCACTGATCGGGAGGCGACGACAGGAACTCCGGTCCGGACCACCAGACTTCATTGTCAGCTAGCTTCTCCGCTGTCAATCCACAACTTGGCAGGTCTGCGGGGTTGAGTCGGCCCGGGATATGACGCCATTGAGCTCCAGAGGTAGCGGCGTGAATCTCGGAGATTTTGTTCCCGATGTCGGTCTGAAACTTCCGGCTGTGAGATCTGACCCAATACAGCACGTTCATACTGTCCGTCCAGAATACATGGTCTCGGACTGGCAGGTTGAGTGCTTTCTCCACCTCGAGGCTCAGCTTCGTGCCGAGGACCGCTGCCTTCAGCTCCAACTTTGGGATGGAGAGCTTGCGGATTGGAGATGGTCTCGCCTTCGCCAGGGCTAGCGTCGTCTTCACCGTTCCGTCTGGATACTGGCACCGTATGTACGTAGCAGCAGCGTACGCTCCATCAGATGCGTCGGTGAACGTGTGCACTTGGATCTCAGCAGTGGAGGGGTCGAGAGTGGCCACCTTGAAACACCGGTCGACTTGGACTGCTGAGAGTGAGGGTAGCTCCGAGAACCATTGCGTCCAAGCCTTGGCATCATGCTCGTCCAGTTGATCGTCCCAGCCATACCCTTTGATGCATAGCTGCTGGAACATCATCCGCGAGCGAATCGTGAACGGGCAGATCTGTCCTCGCGGGTCGAATACTGTGGACATCTCCTTCAGGACTGTCCTCTTGGTCATCTGCTCAGCTGCGCAGCCGGAGAAGACGAAGAGGAACTTGTCGGACTCAGCATTCCAGGTGACACCTAGAGTCTTCGTGGATGGCAGCGTGCTGTGACTGTGATCACCCACCTCGGCAACAGCTCCTGGCGCACGATCCTCCTCTGGAACATCGGCCATTACTGCTGCAGAATTGGACAGCCACTTGCGGATGTTGAATCCACCATCATGGAGTAGTGACTTCACCTCGAGGCGCACACGCTTGGCTGTGTCATCATCAGCACACGAATGGAGTAGGTCATCTACGTAAGTGTCATCGTGGACCGCGGCCGATACGTCAGCTGAGTAGAGATGGCCAAACTTGTTGGAGGTCTCCTCGAGAGCTCTACCCGCCAGGTACGGTGACGCTTTTACACCAAAGACGATGCGGTTGAACTGGTACACCTTCGGCTCGTGCTGCGGGTCGTGCCGCCACAAGAAGCGGTGGTACTTGCGGTCTTGTTGACGTAGCTGGATCTGCAGAAACATCTCTGATATATCGCCGACCAGGGCCACCGGCTCCAGGCAGAAGCGAAGCAGGACGTGAACAATATTGTTCTGTGTCTTTCTGCCAGCATACATCTCCTCGTTCATAGACGTACCTCCCCAGTTGACGGACGCATCGAAGACGACTCTCACCTTGGTGGTCACGCGATCATTTCTCACGACTGGGAAGTGGGGAAGATACCATTGATCACTTCCGTCCTCTGCCGCTGTGGTGGGCTCAACTTCTTCGATGTAGTGCTTCGTCATGTAGGTTGACAGCACGTTCCGGTATGCCTCGTACACAGCCGGTCGTTTGGCGAGCGAGCGCTCCAACGACTGAAGCCGCTGCTCAGCCTGCTTTGCGTTGGACTCGAGGCTCGGAATCCCGCTCGTCGCACTCCACGGGATGCCCATCTCAAAACGCGATCCATCGTGTTGAATCGACTCGGTCACTAGCTGTTCTGCCCGTTGCTCATCAGGTGTTGAGTATGTCTCACCCATGCCGACCTTCTCCAACTCCCAGAAGCTGTTGACAAGTTCATCTAGTCTCAGGTCCTGCGTAGACCCGACGAGAGATGCACCAACACATGTCATCTCGGGCTGGTCATAGGAGTTGTCAGTTGCGCCGTAACACACCCACCCGAGTGGTGTCAACCGAGCTAGCGGGTCACCAGGCTTGCCATGCCGTTCCTCCAGGGACGTGTGAAGCTGTGCCGCATTGAGTCCAATGAGGATGTCCACCTGAGCATGCTGCTGGTGCCTTGGGAACCTGATGTCGCTCAGGTGCGTCCAGTTCTGTTTCTGCGCGTTCCAGTCGACAGGCTTGATGGCACCAGTCACTGTTGGAAGGACGAAGGCAGAGAATGCAGACTCTTCGTCGCCTCCCTGTCGGGTGATAGTAACCGCTACTCTCTCACGGTCACCTCGGATGGTCTTGCCACCTAGTACGGTAGTCGTCAGTGTTTCGACATCTCCGCTGTAACTCAGCTGCTTGGCCAGGTCTTCTCTGATGAAGCTGACGGATGATGCCGAATCTAGCAGTGCGGTAGCCTCGACGACGTGAGGACCATTCTTCACTGTCACCGGCACTGTCATGAACGATACGTGCTGAGACTGGGAGAGACTGTCACTCGCGAAGCAGCTGGCTCCGACATTGACGGCAGCAGACGAATGTGCACCCGCTTTGTCACCTTCGGCGGTTTGTGCCTTAACTACCGGCGCCTGTTCGCTGGGCTTTCTCTCCGAGTGTAACATTCTGTGGTGCTTCCGCCCACACATGTCGCAGGGCTTGTTGCGACACTCTGCCGATCGATGCTTAGCCGGTCTCAGGCAACAGATGCAGATGTTGAGGGGCTTCACGAAGC